GGCTCCGAGCTACTGGCAGATCCCGGAAACTTCCTATGTCAGGACCTGTCATCATGCAGAATGACACATTTCCCCACTGCTCTAATGATTCTGAGTTGGGCTTTCAGTCACTTGTAACCAAAAGCATCCTAGCCCACACACACTGTGCACCTGTGGCCCCCTCTGAAAGGCTTCCCTGCTCTGAGTCAGTGCACTCAGACCACTAAGGAAACGAACACTTGCCGAGTTAATTTTAAACACCAAATCCAGTCTCTGTTAGCCACTGCCCGAAGAGCTGAGAGGATTCTCCACACACTGGCTGTATGGAAATGAAGAGCTGGAGGCTGACCACTAGATCAGGCGCCTGAGGGCAGAGACAACGCTGATACAACAGTGTCCCCTCTGGTCTGAGACTTGGCAAATAAAGGAAAGTTATTCAAATAATTATGGGGCATTGGGAACTGCAAAGAGGAACAAGTTATAATCCTAAATCTAGAGGATCAGAAACTAGTGGGAAAGGTTAATGAAAAAATTAAAATAAAGGCAACAGCAAAAGCACATGCAAGCTACACAAGAACCCCAGAAGCAGGAATAATTAACTTGGTTAGTATCGGGGAGGTGGATGGCAGAACTTCCTGGCAGAAGAGAGATATGGATTGACTGTATGTCTGTGTATGTGCGTGTCTATGTGTGCAAATATATGTGCGGACAAACCATTCCTAAGGCACATGTGAATATATGGATTACTTTCAGAGTCTCAGTTTGGAATACTCTAGCCATAAATCCTGTCTACTACAGAACACTGAAAGCTGCCCATAGAGTAACAATCTCATTTTACGGATGAGGTGGGGGAAACGAAAAAAGAAAACAAATAATAAGAATTTTCTCAAAAGCAGACACATAGGCCTAGAACTCAACCCACAAAACCACTATAGGTTCCAAACTCCTGGCCAAAGCCTAGGGCTTCCTGGCACAAAAAGTATAACTGCCATTAAAGACACTAGGCAAGAAGTGCTAACTTGAATTTTTGACTTAATGAAACATTTTAAACAAGTCTCACATTTTCTATCTTATTTTTAAAAACTATCTCTGTTTCTTCATAAATTTTTTTTAAAATTATACGATCTATTTGTGATTTATACAGCAGTAAGATGTGATCCATTTAAATGTACTACTTTTGTTTTTCAGTTGTATTATTACTATTACCCACAATCAGTCAGGAGCACCTGATTTGTGGTAGTGAAACTAGTGTCTGGGATGTGGCAGTATGTGTATAGTCTACTCCAGGGCTGCCAATGTTTGGGGTAAGTATGGCTATGTCAGTATCACAAATACATCTCAAGACACTAAGGCTATCCTACAATTAAGGCTTTTCATATTCTTAAAGCACTACACACCTGAGTTTCTCAGAAACCCACTGGCACATGGTAGGTGCATGATTTCTGCAAATGAAAATGGCCATCTCAGATGATGAGGAGACTACCGAGTAACTTGGCCTTCTGAGAGTCTTCTACCTGGACCAACAGGTCACACTAGCACCTAAGAACATTCACTGCAAGGACTCTCATAAGGATTGAGGGGTGGGGCACTTACCACTGCCTCCACCTGAAACGGGAAACTGAGGTTCAAGATCCAAGTGACCCCAAGGTCAGCTATTACATACAAAGCAGGGATCTATGCCTTTAACCTAGGTGTCTTACATTGTGTCAGGTAGCTCAAGTATTAATATTTAACATACCCTGCCTTTTGGCAACTTCAGAACAGTATGTCAAACTGTTAAAGACTCAACATTATCTTAAATTCTTAAACAACTGAATCAACATTTTGAGAATGTGGGATTGTGCTGATCGTTTGAAATTTAATCTGTGTACTTCTAAAATAAAGGAAATCTTGTTAAAATCCCTAGAGAACTTACAAGTTAACTCTAGATCTAAAGGAAAAAAATAGTATCAGAGAGTAGCCCAACACAAAAGCAGACTAGGCCCTACCTGTCTCCTTTCTACCGAAGCTTCAAGGAACCTTTAAGTGAGGCCTCCTCTAGCAGAGAACTTCAGGGAAAAGGAAACCCTGTGAAGAGTAAGGTACTCTCCAAGGCTCACCTGAATAGCTTCAAGGATGAGAATGGACCCATTCAAAATATTAAATGTGCTTACATTCCACTCCCAATGTCTCTTAAAATCTACACCGAATGCATGATCTTTTGGGCAGGGAAATACTGAGGTTATTCATCAGTGAAGAGCCCTAGGACAACGAGGCATTTCCTTCACTTTCCTCTAGAGGATGTGGTCCACCTCAGTCACAGAAGCAAAATTTGAGTCTCAGAAGCAAAATTAAGCTAGTAATCTCCATCCCCTTCCCCAAAAAGCCCAAGGATCCAGACAGACAAGGCAGGCCCACAGCACGAGCTCTCACTAAATATATGTGGAAGAAAAAGAGGAAGAAGGGGAAACAGGGGTTAGTGAGACGACCCTGTGGGATGGACAGCAGTGTGGTGCACAGCCATACAGTGCTTCCCTCCTCAAACCGGATTCTAGACAACGTCCCTTGCTGTCGTTCTGGATGGTGTAGGTCTGGCCTGTGTTTTTATACTGCCTCCTCCGCGGAAGTGCATTTAGAGGAGCCAGCCCCGCACCACCCACCCCAGGTTCTAAGATCTCCACAGGCAGTGTGAACATTCACATCACCTGTCTGGCCAAAGTCAGCAACTGAAAGAGGATAGAATCACCTCAGCAAGTTGGCTTTTCTGTTCTGCTAGAGCACTCCATGTGGCAGCAGCCACACCCCCAGAGTGCGGCCTCTACAAAGGATTTTTCCCACGGAAAACAAAAACAGAAACAAAACCCAAAGGGGGAAGGGTACAAAACAATAATCTATTTGGTAATTTAGAATCTTTTTAAAAAATAGTTCCAGCCGGGCGCGGTGGCTCAAGCCTGTAATCCCAGCACTTTGGGAGGCCGAGACGGGCGGATCACGAGGTCAGGACATCGAGACCATCCTGGCTAACACGGTGAAACCCCGTCTCTACTAAAAAATACAAAAAACTAGCCGGGCGAGGTGGCGGGCGCCTGTAGTCCCAGCTACTCCGGAGGCTGAGGCAGGAGAATGGCGTAAACCCGGGAGGCGGAGCTTGCAGTGAGCTGAGATCCGGCCACTGCACTCCAGCCTGGGCGACAGAGTGAGACTCCGTCTCAAAAAAAAAAAAAAAAAAGTTCCATTTATTTTTAAATTAACGTTGAATATAAAGTATGATTAAGTAAATAAAAATGTCTAGCCGGGCGCGGTGGCTCACGCCTATAATCCCAGCATGCTGAGAGGCCGAGGTGGGCGGATCACGAGGTCAGGAGATCGAGACCATCCTGGCTAACATGGTGAAACCCCGTCTCTACTAAAAATACAAAAAATTAGCCGGGCGTGGTGGCAGGTGCCTGTAGTCCCAGCTACTGGCGAGGCTGAGGCAGGAGAATGGCGTAAACCCCGGAGGCGGAGCTTGCAGTGAGTCAAGATCACGCCACTGCACTCCAGCCTGGGTGACAGAGCGAGACTTCGCCTTTTTCTTTCTTAGAAGAAAAAAAAAAAAAAACCCTAAGCATTTCTTTCCAATGCCATGTATTTTCCTCTTCTTTTCTTTTGTTTTTTTTGACAAAGTCTTGCTGGGTTGCCCAGGCTGGAATGCAGTGGCACGATCTTGGCTCACTGTAAACTCTGCCTCCCAGGTTCATGTGATTCTTGTGCCTCAGTCTCTCAAGTAGCTGGGATTACACGTGAACGCCACCATGCCTGGTTAATTTTTGAATTTTTAGTAGAGATGGGGTTTCACCATGTTGGCCTGGCTGGTCTCAAACTCCTGGCCTCAAGTGATCCACCCACCTTGGCCTCCTGAAGTGCTGGGATTACAGACATGAGCCACCGTATGCCCAGCCTAATGCTATATATTTTCAACAAAGGCTGAAAAACGGCATGAGTGGAATAAGCAAGCAGGGAGACAGCAGACGACAGGCAGTGAGGAGGGGAGAGGCTGGAGTGGAAGGAGCAGCACAACAGCCAAAGAGAAGGGAGAGACACCTGCTGCTGGAACTAAGAGCAAGGTAAGGAAAGGGCCTGGAGAGCAGGAGGGGAGGGGTGCAGACTCAGGGGAGCTAGAGGCCAGGGGAGGCTGGGTGGAAGGCCAGCCTGATACAGCCTCCTGGGAGGGTAACTTAGCAGTTATCAACCAAGATTTCACAGAGAGGCCACTGCCCATATATATTTATCTTGTAAATTACTGTTCCACTTTCTGTCCTTTCTTCTAATGAAGTATCATTCTTATCAGTTTGTATGAGATGACATAATAAAAATGACTCTGGTTGAGAAATAGCATTGAACTGGGAGGACAGTTCAATGCTACTTCTCCAGCCCAGACTTGTACAACTTTTGAATTGCCTGGTAACTCACAGGTGAGACAGCCAGCTCCTCTCCTACCCTCACACTAAGGAAGTGGTACTTTTCATTAATTTAGGTAAAATCTGCAGTTCTTAAGGGTTCAGAGTTCAAGGAGTTTCCACAGTGATATACACAGTGGAGCCACCCCCACAAAGCGAAATGTAGAACATTCCCATCACCTCAGAAAAGTCCCCTCAGACCCTCTTCCAATCATTCTCCCCCACCTCAGCAGATTCTGCACCACCACCCCCGGCACCACCCCTTTTGGCTGCAGAGGTGGTGGCCAGACATCTTATCTTGGAGGCTGGTCTGGAAAACATCAGTTTCTAGGCTAGCTGATTTCTCAGCCCTGTGTATGGAAGAGCACAGAGTGGCCACCACATTTACCAATTTTAAACTTAAACACAAACTTATTTTATATATTTAAATGTATAAATATTTTATAAATGCTAATGGGTACTGGATCTCTTAAAAAATCATCATTGTTCTATGAAGATTAGGACTCCAGTCCCACCCACCTATTGGGTATACACAGAGCACCAGAATGCATCTCAACAGTCTGTAAGCAATGACTTCCCCCGCAGGTTTTCCTTCTCACTCACCTGGCTGTTTGGATCTCCAAGTAAGTTGCATATATGTGGCACAATCTTGCTTAGTGTTAAAGTCTGCGCTCCAGAGCTGAAAACAAAAGGAGTGCTTTCTTGTTAGTGAGAACTGAAGAAAGACAGGCGCCTGTCTGCCCACACCTGTCCTTCCTGTGTCTCCCCAATCCACATCACCACCTCATACCAAGTCTCTCTCCATCCCATCCACACTGACTCCAAAGTAAATGTGTCCGATGGCCCCTTTGCACAGAGTTCAAAACCTAGGGTGGCTTCTCCCAGATGAGTCTTCCTCCTGTCCCCCAGGGCTCTGGCCAATCCAGCCGTACCCCTTTAAGGCTGGGCCAGAGCACCCCAGGTCCCGCTTGCCTCACAGGTGCTGCCTCTGCAGTACTGTTCTGTCACTGTAAGCCAACTACGAGTCACTGGAGGGACCTTGTTTAACTCTCCCATGTGCTGTGCAGAGCCCTCTGCGACGGTAGACAGGCAATACCGCTGGATGAAAAGACTGCAATCAAATCAGAGCATCTACCCTACTGGGGCACATTTGAGTTACAATTTTCACCATCACCATCCCTGCCATGACAAATGGCCTTTGTGAATAAAAATCTCTTGGTTAATCTGCCTACTACCTTACCATAAATTCCTAGAACTGTAGCTACTGTGATCAAAGGCTAGAGGTTGTTTTTTTTAAAAAGCTTCAGCTACTTATGGCCAAATTTAATGGCACTGAAAAAGCTAACATATTAAGATGGAAAAAATGTACAAGTAATATAAACATTACAATCTCAATTTTGTTTTTAAAAATAACATAACTTTACAGGTTAGGATAAAATGATTATCTGAAGGTAACAGAATTACAGTAATCTTTATTTTTTCCTTGTGTAAATTTTTATGATATATACAGTATTATTTTCATAACCAGAAAAAAAGTCTTGAAATTTATAATTTTAAAAAAGCCTCTCCTAAAAATAAGTACATGAAAAAAATGTTCACCATCAACAGCCATTAGATAAATACAAATTAAAACCACAATGAGGTATTACTACACACATATAAAAATGGCTAAGATAAAAAAGTGACAACATCCAATGGCTAGCAAGGGTATGAAGAAACCAGATCATTCGGACGTTGCTGGTAGGAACGTAAAACAGTGTGGACAACTCTGGGGAAAAAACTGGCAGTACCTTTTAAACTAAAAATGAACTTACCAAATGACCCAGCAAGTGTACTCTTGGGCACTGATCCAAGAGACATGGAAACTTATGTTCATGTAGAAACTTGTACATGCATGTTCACAGCAGCTTCATTTATAAAAGCCAAAAACTGGAAATCACCCAAATGTTCCTCAACAGGTGAAGAGTTTAACCAACTGTGATACATCTATACCAAGGAATTCTATTTAGCAATAAAATGAACTATCAATGTCATGAGTAACCTCAAGGGTATCATGCTAGTGAAAAAAAGATAAAACTCAAAACGTTACATATTGTATAATTCCATTTACATAACACTCTTGAAATGACAAAATCATAGGCAGGGAGAGCAGATTTGTGCAAATTCAAACAGATTCACGGTTGCCAGGGGTCAGGATGTAGCTACACATGGCAGCATGAGGGAGCCCTGCAGTGACTGTACAGTTACATATACACACAAATGCACATGTGTTTACCTGAGACACTTGCACAAGTTCTAGGGATTGTATCAATCTCAACGTTCTGGGACTGATGCTGTAATATAGTTATTCAAGGTGTTAACATTGGGCAAGGGTGGGTAAAGGGGGTGTGAGACCTCATACTACACTTCTTTGCAACTTCCTGTAAATCTATAATTATTTCTAAGTTAAAAAAAATTCAGCCAGGTAAAAATGTCAGGCTCATGCCAGACTTACGCATTGAGTGTTGCGATAAGGCAGAGACAGATGCCTTCTCGGGTACGGAAATTCTTGTGTTTGAAGCCTCCGAGCATTCTGTCCCATACGTACTGTAGACAACAAAGAATAGGTGAGGAAAGGAGAAGACTGCTGCAGCTGTCACTTAGTAAGGGAGCACAGAAGGCAAGCCTCTTAACGGGTGCCAAATTAGTCCCATCCTCTACCAACACATTTAATCCTCTCAAGAGCATACTGGAAAATGATGACATCTATCATGTTACCAAGTATACTAAATTATAATTTTTAAAACACATTCATTTACACAATTGCATTTAATTCTCCCAAGAACCCTAAAAGGGAGGTATAACTGTCCTCATTTTATGGGTGAGGAAAGCAAGGCCAAAAGAGCCAGTGAGTTGCCAAAGATCACACACTCACACTGCCCTCTGCTTTTTCTCATCACCCCCCAATAAAGGACAGTGGAAGCTGGGAAGGCAAGGCTGTTTCGGTCCACCCCAGCAGCCCCAATTAACCAGAAGACAGGGGCCAGGGCTCCAGCCAGGCCTCCTGATTCCCAGACACCACGGCTTCCTCTTTTCAGACAACTGGAGAGTCGGTTACATAAATGAGCTGAAGAGTCTAATGGATTGAAACTAAGTATATTAGATTCACTAATTTATTCAATACCCCCATGTTAAATCCGCTATTCATCTCATACTTTTGTGACTTATTTATTTAACTATCTTGCATGAGTAAACAGATTGAATGCTGTGAAAATTTTTATCTGTAATACATCAGCTTAAGTCTACGGAGTCACACCATTTGTGCAAGCACACACACACACACCCTCGCAACTGCAAGCATGCGCACTGGCCAGCTGACCTCAAAACACATCTCTTGCCCCTACCTGGGGATTAGCAGCTTGATCCATGATCTTTAGCAGCAGAGTTTGGTCCTGCTCCCTCACAGAGTCTTTAGCATCTCCTAGTCTGTCTATTAGACTTGGCAGCACTGAAAATCAAAACAGAAACTGATCAAATGAAACCCTATTTGGGGGTCTGCAGTCACCAAGTACTGCTATTTCAATTACGTGGGAAGACAAACCCCTGACCCAAATGATGTATCTCCTCCTAAAACCACTCATCTTTGCTCACAGCTCTACTCTCCTTGCTGAAATCCATGAGAGTCACCAAAAGAGTCTGCAAAATCCTTTGCATGGAAAGATATACTATTTGTCTTCCTCCTTACCCCACGTTCCTCCAGCCAGTTCCAAACGTATTTGTAAGCTGATAAAAATTGAAGACCTTGATAGGAAGAGTCAATAGAAAGGAAAATTTAGGTAAAAGACAAGGAGAGGGGCTCCAGCATATGTGTTTGGGGGTGGAAGGGGTAGGCACTTATGAATAATCTTACATTTCATCAACATTGTGTATTTTTAGTTTTACATCACACCCAAACACACATGAGACAGAGCCCAGCTCTCCATCTTCCCCCACCTACCCAGTGTGGACCCTCCCACCAGTGCTCCAAGTGCACCTATAGACCAGAGATCAGCTTATTTTAAGAGCTTGCAAACCTCTATAACCAGAGCTATCCCTGAATAATTCAGCTAATTTAGGAGGAAAATGGAACCCTATTAAAATATCAAATTTCTAAAACTAAAGGTTTTTTTAAAAAAATTTGTAAACAGTCAGTGCTAGAATGGGAAAATAGCTCACGACCTTTTCAGAAGGAGCATATTGGTCAGAAACTTAACAGAAAAGAACACATGTATACCAATGTAAAATAGAGAAATTCCATAAGGAAATGGTTGCATAGAGCTGCTTAGTGTTTATACTGCCCCCATGAAACACCGGAGGTCAGGAATGTAGAGGTATTTAAATCTATGAAATCTGTGGGGTTTGTTCCATTTTGCTGACACATCGTTTTTCCTTCAGAATAAGAGCGAACATTTACTATACACTTGTAATGACATTTACAATCAAGGTGAAAATAGTAATGCCAACCATAGTCATCTGGGGAAAAATACAACCGGCTTGGTTTTACAGGATTTCTCAAAGAAAACTGCCTCTCATTAAAGGGGACCGCGGTCAGGGTCAAATATGACTTGGTTGGCACTAAAGGGTGACAGCTAATTTAGCCTAAGAAATAAAAATGGCACTAATATTTCATATTAGAACACGTATTACTAATTTCCGTATGAGAACACAGTGAAGCCAGTACAAGGTATGGGGAAGGGGAAGGGCGCCCGCGGGCCCAGAGGCCAGGAAGCCCAGCGGGAAGGGAAGGCAGCGGGGCGGCCGGCCGGGGCTGCGGGGGCTACGGGGGCTGCGGGGGAGGGCGGGGACTGAGTGACTGGGAGGAGCGGAAGGGAGACCGAGGGGGCTGGAGGGGAGGCAGGGTGGCGGCCGGGAGGGTTTGGGAGCAGCTAAGTGGAGAAGCCGGGAGACCGAGGGAAGGCCGGGGGTCTGAAGGGGCCGGGTCCGCTCCACAAGTGCCGCAGCTCACCTGTGCCGATCTGCGCCTTGAACCGATCCTGCAGCCGGGTCACCAGGGCGGACAGGATGTCCATGCCCAGCAGAACCACCTGCAGCGGGAAACACCGGGAGCCTGTTAGCGGCCGGCCTGCGGGGCAGTGCTCCCGCCCACCCGCTCCGGGGACGCCTCGACATTTCTGGCCCAGACGCAGTCCGAGAGTCCAGAGCGCGCATGCCGACTGGAGGACCAAAGAGATTAGCACGAGGAAGGATGATCTTCCACAAAAAGAGCTGTGTACAGCTATAATGGAAAATACTCGGTGAGGAGAAACGAAATAAAAGGCAGTACAGCGTAGCCAAACCCAGGTTAGCCGCCCGTGGAGTTCAAGAGAGCGCCGTGGCCCCGCCCCCTCCAACCCCGCCCCCTCCGCCCCGCCCCGGCGAGAAAACGTATGCAAATTTTCGAGCGGCCGACGCGCGGTCTTCTGGGTAAAACCGAGCCGCCGCTTTTGCGACCCTTCAGGAGCCTCAGAAAACAAAGAATTGGTGGTGTCGTCGAAAGCCGTGGAGGCTGGAGGTAAACTAGCTACCAGACCGACTAGGGCGGGACTCACAAATTAATCACCACAACCCAATCAGGTATTGGCGCTTCCTGCTTGCAGCGCACGCAACCTCTAACGCAACCATCCTTTTCTTGGGGTTGCGCTACTGTCCAATGAGCGCATAGTGAGGGCAGTACTGCTAACGCCTAAACAACACACCCGCATCAACTAAAGCTTTAGCTTTACCTTGGTGCAATTTTTGGAAAAATGAAAAACTGCTTTTCCAGACCCGTGAGTTCAAAGAGTAATGAACTACAGTAAGTTTGCGTTCTGTAGTCATGCGTTAAACCAGTAGGTGGTGCACAATATACATGATTTTACTTTCTCACCGAAACTCTTTTAGTTTTTGCTGTGCCAACGGGGAGGGTTTACCCCGTCATCTACTTCGACACGCTGAGCCAGCCTAGTAGTCTAGATCAAGTTTCAGTAGGAGGCGAAGTTTCAGTAGGCCTTTGTACCACATAAAATGGAATCCCAGCACTTTGGGAGACCGAAGCGGGCGGATTACGAAGTCAGTAGATCGAGACCATCCTGACCAACATGGTGAAACCCCTTCTCTACTAAAAATACAAAATTAGCCGGGCTTGCTGGCTCACGCCTGTAGTCCCCGCTACTCGGGAGGCTGAGGCCGGCGAATCGCTTGAACTTGGGAGGCGAAGGTTGCAATGAGCTGGGATCCCACCACTGCACTCTAGCCTGGCGACACAGCGAGACTCCGTATCAAAAAATAAAAAAATAAAAAAATAAAAAAAAGTTAAACAGTGAGCTTTCTGTGGAATGGTCCAATAGCCAGATTAAACCCTTCCTCTGTAGGAAGCAGTTTTGCACTGTGATATTTCATTAAACACGCTTCCAACACAAAGCGGAGCACTGCCCAGTGTTCACACAACCACCAAACAGGACGGGTCAACAGTTAGGATTTCTTGCGTACAGCCTGTGCCTGCGTCTGGCAGCTGATAGAAGCAAAAACTGCAGACTTTTCTATTCAGCTTTGAAATCCGCTGCTTCAAAACTGAAGGCATCCAAATTGGCCCAATAATCCCCACAATATATAAAATGTTCTTGCAAGAAACTGGCTACTTGACAATATTGAAGAAAACAATTTTTAAAACTTCTATAGAGAGAACAATTTATAAACATTTTTCTTTTAATAATATAATAATGGTATAAACACTTTAAAATAATGACTCTACTTTCGAGCTAAAAAGGATTAGGTTTCACACTATGACTTCCTTCCAAAGAGTACAGTATGAAGTGGGGGAGTAACTATCCAGCGGAGAAAACTGACAGACGCAACCTCAGCCAGACAGTGGAGGTCAACATCAAGTACACTTGGTATGATGTCATGAAAACGGCATTTTGCCTTTGTGATAGTCCTTCCCAAAACCCTTAAGCCCAGTCTAAGCATGAGGAAAACATCAGAGAAATTCCGATAGAGGGGCATCCTACAAAACACCTGACCAGTACCCCTCAAAACAGTCGAGATCATCAAAAACAAGAACTCTGAGAACCTGTCTCAGCAACAGGAGCCGAGGGAAACGTAACAACTAAATGTAACGAGGTATCCTGGAAGAGAGTCTGAAACACAAAGACTACATTTTTCCTTAGGTAGAAACTAAGGAAATATGAATAAAGCATGAAATCTAGTTAATAATAACACATCAATACTGGTTCATTGACTGTCAAAAACCACACTAATGTTAGATATTACAATGAGACGATATTAGCTTTGCAATTTTTCTGTAAAAAAGTAGTTTATGTTTTAAAAAGAACAGCCCGTCATGGAAGTGAGTTAGTTGGCTTCTGTCTGGTGAAATCTGAAGCTTGTCCGCACAGCTGCATTACTGGCTGCAAGTAGGGGTATTATTCATGATAGAAACATCCCTTCATACACCGCTCCAGGCTAAGGTGAAGAGGACTGTTGTTCATTTGGGGGAAGGCTGACATCAGCTTTTCCAGGACGGCAGTTTACTTGGTAGGTCTGAGCAGAGAAGGCCTCGCGAGGCCCCGGACAGTCAAGTTTCAATGCCTCGCCTAGATGAACTGGGGAGCGTGGAAACTCCCAAAGAAGACTGAGTGAGTAGATGCACCTGAGTCCCCAGAGAAACAGAACAGGAGAGGTCCAGGGTGCCGGCCAGGAGGACAAAAGGCAGTTCCAGGTGCTTTCACAGCCCTTCTCCTGGGCTCCCATTTCCCTACTGAAGAAAGGGATACGTGAAAAAGTCCTTGCCCAGAAGACCACTCTGATAATTAACTGTAAAAACCTCTTTGTGCCTAAACCTCCTCATCTGTAAAACAGAGACAATAGTAACAGCTACCTCATGGGTTGTTGTGAGGATTAAAGAAAGTGTGTATGTAAACTCTGCCTGGCACGTGGTAAGGGTACTTTCTTTTTTTCCCTGTTTCTGCTTTCTTCAGCCCTTAGGTCTATAAAACCAACTTCTTCTCCATGGCTCAATGGAGTACACAATTCTCTTTCCTGGAAATGAGGTGTTACCTGATTCTAAAATCACAAATAAAAGTCATTCAGAATCTTTAAATTTTTTGTAATTGTTTTCTTCCAACACCATTAGCTCTGCGTGACCCTTGAGCACTGCCTCTGACATTTTACTTAATTATCTGCGTTTGTGCTTGTTTCCCCAGCTACACTCCTTGAATGTAAGGAACACTACCATCTTGCATTTCCTCAGAATTCCCATAAGAAATAGCACAACGTTGGGTACAAGGTAGGTGATTGATACACCCTACTGTATTGATGTGAATGAGACTGGAATAGATGAGCTCTCAAGGTCCAACATCTTCTTTATCCTAAAATCCTTTAAAAGACCCTTTTGTAAAAGAGAGAAGAGGGCTGACCAGGTCACTGGGACCAATACTCCTGCCGAGCACAACTAAGAATGCTGGATATAAAAGAACTAAGAAGGCACAGAAGAACTTCCAGGTCAAGAAACACAGACAACTAAAATCCACAGACATAAGCCTGCAACAGCTGGTTCTCTTTGCCCTGGGGCCATGTATACACTGGGAAAGGGTGCAGAGAATCACTTTAATAACCTTGTGGGTCATCTAGGAGGGCAAAGGTTACATTCCAAAGCCCTCCAAAGTTGGTGGCCTAGTTAACCCCCACCACGTGTGCTGGAAACCCAAATGGCTAGACTTTAGGAGGAGAGTGAGTTGGAAATAAAACAGCCTTCACAGGGACTGCAGCCCAGTTTCCAAGCATCTGGGTGGCCCGGAAAAAATTCTAATCCCTGACATCAGATTAAAGTGAGTTTAGACTGTTTGTGTCCAAAAGCCCTTAGCAGATAAAAACACATGTCATTTCTGGATAAAGAAAACATCATCTTAATAATCTAGTCCTTGGTTTATTCCTGTAACAATTTTTCTTTTGTTGCTGTTGTTGTTTTTTTGAGACGGAGTCTCGCTGTGTCGCCCAGGCTGGAGTGCAATGGTGCAATCTATGCTCACTGCAACCTCTGCCTCCTGGGTTCAAGAGATTCTCATGCTTCAGCCTCCCAAGTAGCTGGGGTGTGTTATCAGCCCGGCTAATTTCTGTATTTTTAGTAGAGATGGGGTTTTATCACATTGGCCAGACTAGTCTCGAACTCCTGACCTCAAGTGATCTGCCTGCCTCGGCTCCCAAAGTGCTGGGATTACTGGCGTGAGCCACTGCACCTGGCCTATTCCTGTAACAATTTTTCAAAGAGAACATGTGAAACACAACCAAAGATAACCAGGCACACAGGACAAAATAAATGAAAACTAGCAGAAACAAAGACCAACCTGAACGCTGGATCCCTGGCTAGGAGAATAATTACAAACAGACTTCAAAATAACAAGTCAGGCCGGGTGTGGTGTCTCACACCCGTAATCCCAGAACTTTGGGAGGCCGAGGCAGGCGGATTGTCTGAGCTCAGGAGTTGGAGACTAGCCTGGGCAACATGGCGAAATGCCATCTCTACGAAAAAATACAAAAACTAGCTGGGCGTGGTGGCGGGCACCTGTGGTCCCAGCCGCTCTGCTTGGGAGGCTGAGGTGGGAGGATCACTTGAGCCTGGGAGGCGGAAGTTGCAGCAAGTGGAGATCGTGCCACTGCACTCCAGCCTAGGCGACAGAGACACCTCATCTCAATAAATAAATTAATTAAATTAAATAACAAGCCTTATTATGTCTAAGACACATGATTAAAGTTTTGGGTAGAGAAATGACAACTTTTAAAGTTACACAGATTAAACAAATAATACAAGAGAAAGTTAAATACTCAACGAATGGGCTCTTTTTCCTAAGTGCACTGTAAATACATGAAGAGAACTAAACAGGAAACTAAGTCTGCAGAAAAAATCCAGAATAAAGTAAAGAGAGGCAAAAAGATGGAAAATTCAAAAGAACAGGGAAGAGAGAATAGAGAGAAAATGTTAAGTTTAAATGGAATGCAAAAAAAGAAATGACACAATAGGTATAAAGCAATGGCTGACATTCATTAGAATTTTATTTTTATTTATTTATTTATTTATTTATTTTTGGGAGATAGGATCGTACTCTGTCACCAGGACTGGAGTACAGCTGCGTGATTTCGGCTCACTGCAACCTCCACCTCCCAGCTTCAAGGGATCCTCCCGCCTCAGCACCCCACCCCCCCCAGTAGCTGGGACTACAGGCGCATGCCACCACACCTAGCTGATTTTTTGTATTTTTGTAGAGGATGGGTTTTGCCACGTTGCCCAGGCTGGTCTTGAACTTCTGGACTCAAGCAATCTGCCTTTGTTGGCGTCCCAGAGTGCTGGGACTACAGGCATGAGCCACTGCACCCAGCCCAGAATGGTATTTAAAAAAATACTAAATAGTGTTGGTGAAGATGTACAGAAACTGAAACTCTTGTACACTGCTGGTGAAGTGTCAAATGGTAGAGTTGTTGTGGAAAATGGTTACAGCAGTTCCTCAAAAAAGATTAAACATAGTATTACCATATGATTCCAGCAATTCTACTTCTGGGCCTATACCCAAAAGAAGTAAAAGCAGAGTTTTCAAAGACAGTTGTAAACCCAGGTTCACAGCATCATTACCTACAACAGTAAAAAGGTGGAAACGACTCAAGTGTTGACTGACAGATGAATGGATATGGTAAATGGAGTCTACCAGTCTGCCCATACAATGGAACATTAGGCCTTTTCTGAAACACTACAACATGGGTGAACCTTGAAGGCATT